TAGCTTCCAGAAAGCAGCAAAAAGAGGTAAGAGTACACGTTGGGATATAGAAAGGTGGCCATTGAAATAGCCAACTGTACGGAAGTACTGGAAGAAAGTGACAAAGGAATAAACACAACATTGTCCTTTTCTATTTGGTTTGTCCTTTCTCTTCAGAATAAAAATTTGTTCTATACTTCGTATTTTTTCTTGATTAGTCATGGTTAGTTGGGCATGTGGTTTACCCGCGATTGACGAATGACTTCAGCAATTCCTTCAGATGAGTGATTCCAGTGGAGGAGAGTGGATTCTGATAAATAATCAGGGACGTTTGGCAATACTTGGAAAGTTGTGATGCCAGGAATTCAAATTATTAAATAATAATAAAATACTGTGAGGTTAAACAGTGGAAAAGGGTAGGTGAATTGACCACGACCATATTTTCAAAGCCTATCGTAAGAAGAACAATTGTGAAGGATGAAACAGTTGATAAGAGCTTACACTGAGCATCAGCAATAAAAAAAATTCAAGAGAAAAACAATTAAAACACAAATTGAAAACAATCACAACTAAATCGATTGTATGGGGGGTGTTCTAGAAAGGCCCGCTGCTCTGTGCACCCAAGGCCACCAACATCGATATTGACCGTAATTGACCAGAGTGGTCATGCTCAATGCGCTCAGACGCAACTCGACGAGATTCCTCTGGGAATTCTTCACGAAAATCCAATCTCATACTGTATTGGGGTTCCTCAATGATTGTTTCTGGGATTATTTTCAGGAGAAGTCAACTAGGAACAATGTAGTCGTGGTCCGGTCGACATCCAACTGATATCATAGACCGATACCGGGGTTCAAATCAAAATGAAGTCAATGGAATCAGTCAATCGAAATGAGGAACACGAGAAAGTCTCCTTCCAGTAGCCCACCGGGTGTTTCTTTGATGAATTTGGCAGAACTGACGCAAAAAGCAAAGAGCCGTAATTTCAACGAAGGCGACGAGTTGTTAGGATTTTTCATTCTAGTAAACCCTCAGTTTTTTTCGCTCTGCAAAGATTTCCTTGAGAGACATGGTCGTGCGGAACCGTCAGACTGAGAAATTTACCTTTTTTCTTCAATTTTTTGTCAATTTTGCTCTCTTCACTCGGATGTCTACAGAGACGAGAAAGGGTCATTAAATTTAAGGAACACTCCATTTCAGTGGACTGAATGACGAGATATGGAGACTGCTCCAATCCAGTATAATCTAAGCCTGGGATTGGAAGCCTACACACTATCCGGTAAAGAGTGACATGATACAATGCTTAGGAGAAGGCTTATCAAAATATTCCTATATCCCAATAGGAACAGTGTAATAAAGAAGCCACTCCAACCAGATCAGCCATAGAGGGAAAACTTCTTTAATAACTCCTTTATTCATAATTTATACATAACTAAACGAGATCACACGCTTAGAGACGACAGTTAATTTTCTTTCCAGGTTGCACCACACTTTCTTCACGTCTTCTAAGTACTCCCATCATCCAGTAAACATATGGTAAAATTTTGTGTAGAAGTGAGGAGTGTGTCAATTGGCCATTTTTCCTTGAATTCAGCTTTTTTTCGAAAAGGATCCCTTGAAGAGGAACTAAGGCCAGCGCAAGTAATGTCCATTTGCGAAGCATTTTCTTTTTCAACGTCGCGTGCAATCTCATCGTAGAAAAAAGTCGCCGTCGCTGTAAACGATAATTACAGGCATCTTCAGAACTTGCAAAAATGCCATGCTTCCAAGATCCATTCATAAACTGCAGTCGAAGCTCACTCGATGTGCTCTTTCTGCATTCCAAAACCTCTAATTTCAACTAAGTTTACGCGTTCCTCAGAATCGCGCGTCATGGTGCCGGATAGGAAGTCAAATACATGGCGCAACCGTAAGAGAAACCTATCTTGTGGGCACTTTTGCTTTATTTTCTGTCCCACACACTTCGAATAACCCTGTTGGCCGTAAATACATGCATGGCCTATTGCACATACTGTGGTTCCCAGTCACGAATTTTAGGGATAAGGCATGGCCGCTTTGCAAAATCCTCTTTATTTCCTCCACATCATCTCTAACTACTCTCTGCACGATGCCATAGAAAGAGAGGGTTTTTTCCTACCGTTCAACGATTTCTGGCGTATGAATGAAAGTTTGTCATTAATCAAATGTGATCCTGGTTGAAAGACTTGATGATGCCATTATTACAATCCAGTAGCCATTATAATAGCCGATTGGAAAAAAATGGCTCTGACTGGTACACCTAACAACGTTTTTCCTCAGACTGTATAGGAAATTCCTTGCTTGATAAAGCCGTTACGTTTATAGTCGATCGCAATACGATAACTTCGAGGATAAAGGCTGTTTTCACTGCCATATATAGGACTTTTCTCTGTTCCACTTGATGACTGCTTTTTTTCTACGAGTACCTTAACCCCTCCTTTGCTGAACTCATCGTTATTGGTAAAAAGAGGGTGAAGGCTGAAAAATACGGTTTCGGAGAATTCGAACCCGTATACCAATTGATCTGTGAATAGACTATTTGGAAAGAGAAGCCTACCGCCTTAGCAATTACAGGCTACCGTACTGGTAAACATGTGGGTACTACTGAAATCTGTTTACGAATCTTAGAATGAGCCAAGACCACGGCGTACCTACTTAAAACAAATGCTGATAGTTAACTACTTTTATAAGTTCGACAATTAGGGAAAGGTTTTACTACCCATTGAAGAGCTTCTCGCAACGTCTCCATCTATAAGTAGTTAGATTTGCCCATATGTTTAAAGAATTCCATCGATCCCTCAACAATGAATCAGCTGGACTGCGTGGGATCCCCCACCAGTGACGTTTTCGGGTGCGGGATAGCCCATTTGCTCCTCAACAGGTGCCATCAACTATACCAGCTGTGTCAGCCTTTGCACATACGGCGGAAAATCATGCCGGAAGTTAAAAAAACACAACAAAACACAAAAAAACAGTAAAAGACAGTTTGTAGAAGGGTAATCTCACACAGAATACATACAGCAACGGAAATACTAATACAATATTAATATGTTACGTCAGTTAGCTTGGAACCGAATTTGGACGAATCTTCGTTCTTCCAGGGCCCAGCTAGAAAACGGGTCCTAGGGCAATCTTCAAAATGAAACTCCTTTATACAATAATAAGTTTACAGTTTCCTACACAGACATGATAGAGAGCTGTACAAATGGTACGGAGACTGGACCCATCGCACTCCTAAACTCCTTGAGCTTTCCCAAATGTGAATGGGGAAATGTTAGTGAAATAGGAGTCTAGTATTGGAAACTTGACCTCTATCAATCGAGCAAGCAATCGAGTAACGAACAATCTGAAGCTGAAGATTTGAACGCCTAGTCTGACTGAAACCATCACACCAACTTCTCATCCATGCCATTCCGGTCGTCGATTCTGTTCAATTCCCGTCCTGTTACTGCTCGGTTCCGAAGACTTGTAATAACAACTGAGCACTGCTCTTCACGCTTTGAAACGATCCAATCAAAGTTTGACGAAAAAAAAAACGATGCGACGTCTTAATGGGGTCATGGCTCAATGCGATTCTTCACGTGATGGGAAGTTTTTTCAGAAAAATTAGATTAATGAGCTTATGGCAATAGTTACGATCTTACAAAAACTTCTCGCTGAGTACACTTCAATATCGATCTGCTGGGTGTAAAAATCAATACGAATTCCAGTTGGAGTTCACCTCAATTGTTGTTTCTTTATTCTAGCCAATAATCGATTACATCTGTGGGACTTTTCCTTTCGCAGCGAGGAGAAAGTGAAAAAACGCAGAAAATAATAAAAGCGACCTGGTATGAACTACGGAATTTTTTTTTCAAGTTAATCTGATGAACTAATAATAATAATTGAGTATACTGTCTAGCTTCAAATCGAGGCTAATTAATGGAAACGAGAAAAAGGCCTCGGCTTCTCCAATCCCTACCTGGATTACGCCATGCATGAGATTTTCATTCGGATTCATGATGGCTTTTGAGAACGCTTACAAAATTAATAGTGAATCATCAGCTCAGAAGTTTGTTCTCGTAATTTCCTGCTTGAGATTGAGACGAAAAGTTTCTATGGCGTGTGGGAAATTCGATCCCCAAAGCGTGCAGGTCGTTTTGTGGAAGTGCCACCATCCATTTCACAACAGACAAACATTTTTATAAACATTGAAAAATTGTTTTGCTAGTTCACGGTTAGTCAAATCGACTAGTTATTTGGCAC